ATTATGTGCTTAAGCCTTGACTTAGGTCTGATAGTGTCCTAATCACTATCCAGACCTTTGTCTGACCATCAAAAGGTCTGTTCCTAACTTGTTCATCTAGCAAGTGGTCAGGGGTGTGCCAGCCTGCCTTATGGCTAGGTATGACCACCACTTGTCATGGCCCCTTAATTCCCTTTCACTTTGCACTTACTCCTAGCTATAAGTTCTGCCCCTCTCTTGCAAGCCATGCTTTGGGACCCCTGAGCTCCCTCTGAACTTGGATGCCTGAGGGCTGGCTATTCCACACTGCACCATCCTGTTCATAATGGCATCCTGGGTGTAAGCTATGCCTGGAATCCCTGAGGTTCCTTGAAACTTTGAAACGCCCTGGATAATGAGAAGGCTTTGGAGATCTGAACCCCGTAATTGGTTAAATACATATTATTGGACATTAAGATTGAATTAGGATGCTTGGATCTAGCTATTAGTTTTTGATGTATTTCTATTATTTCAGTTGATTCATTGGGTTGTAATAACTTGTATAGAACTCGGGGAATCTAGTAAAAGGGTGTGGGCGGGGTTTTACTTTCTTGCATCAATAAAGGGTAGATATCATGACTTTAGGACTTTAATTTTTTCACTAGAAATATTGCACATAAGATGGTTTGATGTTTCTGATTCAAGTTGCCTAGATACCATGCCTATAGGGTTTAACATTTAATTATGATATAAGTCATCTAGAAATCCTGCCTATAGGACCTTAACGTTCATGTAATCAGTGCATATAGAAATCATGCCTATAGGGAATGCATATGCATTAGGCAAACTGTAGGGTAATTAAATAATTACCTTTTCTTACCAGTTCTTAACAGACTTTTTTTATCAGATATAGATATCATAGGATTCCGCATCAAGTTCCTCCTATTCTTCCTAAGCAATAACAATCTGTTAACTGGTCTCTAATGTCTTAATGTTTTCAGCCTCAATCTTTTGACGAAAACTCTTTTGAATCAGTATACATTTGAGTTCTTCAAATCAGCACCTCTTCTGAAATGGTTTCTTTCTAAAATTCTGCCTAAACATTTTCCAACTAAGTTTTGGTCTTCCTGAAATTGTCTTTAAAACAGTTCTGTAGTTTACTCTTTCCTTAAGTATTTCTGACTCTGGAACTCCCTCTTAAACTTATTTCTAAACTGACTGCAGTCTGTACTTTCCGGCATTAGACTACTTTTCTAGAACCAGTACTTTCTAAATCACTCGCTTAAAATACCTTAAGTTCTGACAATTGGATCCAAGTTGCCTAATGTGGGCTTCCTGTCTAAACGTATGTATCGAACCAGTTCGCTCGCTGCTTAATTTTTAATTTTAAAAGACCAAACCAGTATGTGTAAAGGCATGCTAAACTATATGTTATCTGATTTACGGGGTTTATGTGAGCCTTACTTGTTTGTCTGTTCATTCCCCCTACTTGTTACTTGTTTTTGAATGTCGATTAGAATTTTTGTCCTTTAAAACTCCATAAAGGTCCCCATCCCTTTCTCCCCCTTTTAGGATTAGTAGTCCTAATGCCCCGGGACTGATAGCTTGGGACGGGTAATAGCATGCGATAGGCAAACGATACCATTCCACGCTCCAATACCTTAACGGGGTGGGAAAGGGTAGACATGGAGATGATGATTACACGATAACACTATGCGTACAATTGAGTACCCAGTGTTGTGCGAATGATCCATGTAATATATAAACCTAGGACCCCCCTCCCTCTTTATTAGTTTAACAATTTTCTGAATCTTAAAAGCTGTTGCACTTTCGACTTCTGTTTTTCACATAATTTTCAGATTGTTCGCACTAAGTACTTGACTTCTTCCTACTTGCACTTTTAACTAAACTGCTCCTTCCCTAAAATTCAGCACTTTTTTTAACCTTTCGTGCTCCTTATTTGTAATAGTTTTTCGTATTTGCAATGCTTGCTTGTTTACTTGTTTGTTTGCATTCAAAGTCACAATTGTAGCATGGCCGAGAACCACACTAGTGGATCTTGAGGGGTGCCTAACACCTTCCCCTCGAGATAATTTCTAGCCCTTACCCAAACTCTGGTTCTTCATCTCAAATTCTTCCTTAAAGTGTCCTAATGCACTATAATCATTAGGTGGCGACTCTTCAAACTAAAAAACTCAATTCTCGCAAGGGAATAGAGTTGTCCTCCCGAATGTCGTATACCCGATTCCGAACTCAGTTTTGGAAGAAAAAGGGGGCGTCGACGGTTCCTAAGGTGTTAGCCTCTTCAAGGGTAACCTGCTCTGATACCAATTGATATTTTATACGTCAATACCACACAAGATGGGGGGTGATTTGTGTGGTACCCAATTTTCCGCTTAAACTGCTTCTGGAAGGACCTGGTTCTTCTATGTGTTCCAACTACTACTGTTGCGGAATAATAAATACAGAAAATAAAGAACACAGAGATTTTACGTGGAAGACACCTGGCTCAAAAGGTGAAAAAACCACGACCTACTACTCAGTAGGATTTTCCCAAACTTCCACTAAAATCACTAAGCCAAAACAGCATTTACAAAACTCTTTGTAAACCTAAGGATTAACTCTAATCCCGTTGTAGCAACCAGCCTCTAACTGCTGCGACAACTTCAAGTTAACTCTAACTTGAATACTCAAAATACCTATTACAATTGCTTCTAGATAAAGCTGAAAGGTACAATATGAAACACCTACTACAATTGAACTAGAAATAAAGAAAGACACATAAAACTCTTTATGGAGCTGGTTCTTCAATCTGGTTCATGTAGCTTCTGGTTTGCACACTTGAATCACACACGAACTGCTTGCAAAAAGCCTTGCTATTTTGCTCTCAATTCACGTTTAACTTCTGCGTTTTTGTGCAACACTTTAATGTGAGAACATCCTACAATTTATAGAGTTAGTAAATGAAGAAATAACTAGAGTTCTGATGCAACTCTTCCTTGGTGGAAGAGTTCTAGTTGATTTCAACTTCTAACTCATTCCCCATCTTGAATTGTGTTCTCTTTGATTAAGGACTCCTTCTCCTTATCAATTATGCAACCTTTTCGATCAGGAGATATTAAATACACCAAGTTAAGCTTATCTCCTTCACGTGCAACCCACATGCTCGAATCTGCCCGTTTCTGTGCACCTGAGTGATGGACCTGGTTCATCCTGGGTTCCTTTGTCAGTCTTCAAAACTAACCTTTACTTGGGCCAACATAGGTATACACCAAAGTTCGACGGTTCAAAGATATCAAATCTACCGATTGATCGAGTATATCCGACATAAGTTCACTACGGAAAGTTCAAAGGGAAACCTACTTATCCAGATGCAATTAATCCTTGCTTGCGAATCACACAGTTTTTCATGCATACTTCCGTGATATAGCCTTTCCCCGTTCATGTGGGGGATTGTTGGGTTTTTTATGTATTTAATTAATATATTAAATACTTAAAAGAGGGTGAATGGGAAATGGAGGGAAATAAATTTTTGAGTGAAATTTTAAGTTTCCCCCCTTGGCAAAAGGACATTGCCCCATATTGGAAGAGGAAGAGGTTTTTTATGGGTATATAAGCAATTGCTCTTCTTCTAGCTCTTAAAGAGTTGAGAAGAAGGCAAGCCTCGCGCCGTCGTCGTCGTCGCTCGCTCGGCTTCGGCTTCGGCTTCGGATTCGGATTTGGTCAAATGATCGATTGATTGATTAACTTTTTGGACCAAATTTATTTGTTAATAGTAAAATATTAACAGAAATGTTATTAAATGTTTGTTTTAATAACAGAATATTAATATTAAATATTAATATTAAATCCAATCCGTTTTTCTGTTTTGCTAACAGAAAAGTAACTACCCTCTTCAATTTTCCCTCTTTATTGTTGAGTAAATGGCCATTTATGTAATGTCATTTATGCTGTGACCGTTTTGCATAAACAACCATTATGAAGAGTTGCACCTCTTCAGATTTAAGCCCAACTTTAGCTATAAATACAACACTATTCTGCTCAGAATTTCACTACGATTTTCTCAGTTTTCTCTCCTTCTTCTGCATACTTTTAGCATCAAACAAAGCAAAAGTAAGTGTGATTTGCTACCGAACTTTGTGTTCGCTGAAACACTGGGGTTTGAAGTACCCCTACACCAGTGTGTAACTCGTTCTATCCTGGGAGGAAATAATCCATAACCTTGGGTACTAGAAGGGGATTAAATTCCTTAAGGAAACATTGTGAATTCAGTGGGCTCGAATTGGTTTTCTATCATTTCTGTTTATGTTCATTTCTGTTTATATTCATTTATATTTCCAGAATTATATTACAAGTACAGATTACTAACATAATTCATATAATCATATATAATACTAACCAAGAAAAGTAAACGATAAATCCAATTAACTACCTGAAAAAACATAAATAGGCAAATTTTAAGAAAATTTCCAGAAACGTAGCAATAGTAGCTATTTTACACACATGACAACTAAATAATTATATTTCTACCAGACATCTCTAAACCATCGTTAAACCATGAGTTACACCTTATTCTTTGCCACAGAATTTTTAGTTTACTATAAGAAGGGAAGAGGAAGGAGTTTCGAGTAAGATTTTGCCTTACCTGATGAAAGAAAAAACAAAAAGACTGAATTTTTGGGTTTGTGATGGTAGAAAGATTAGTGGAGAAATAATCACTATAATTTTGGAAATTTGGTGGAATATGGGAGTCTTTTAATCTCTAATACATCATCCCTTGAATCATGGGTCAATTTTAAAAAATAAAGACCGATGGTAACGTATCAATTTTGAGATATGCTATGTATGTAAATGAATGTGCTATATATGAAATAAAACAAAAAGTAATAATATTGTCTATATAAATAATGTAAAGATCCCAATTCTTTTTCCAACCATGTGACCCGAGTGGGTCCGACCCACCAGATCACAGAATGTAGAAGAATCCGAATACATGTGGAAGAGTGGAGACGTGTCTACTTTCCCTTTTATTAATAAGCGAAAAAACCAAAAGGGAAAGAGTTAGAACCAAACCAAACCAACGGTGTTGATAGGGCAAACTCAAAAACTCTGCCTTCATCTCAGTCGTCTCCCTTTTCCCCACTTTCTCCAGCGTACGATCCTCTCTTTTCTCCCTCAATCCTTCATTCTCCTCTCCTCGCGCCCAAATTACAAATCCCCAGGTTTTAATTTTATTTTCAAAAATTCCCCCTCTCTTTTTCTCTCTCTACATTTCAATGGCAGAATTAGGGTTTTTTTTCTTCTTTCTTTTTCCTGTTCTTCATCTTCAGCTTACTTACTGTGTGTTTTTGTGTTTTTGTTTTTTTTATAAGGTATGGCGGATGGTCAAGGATCGTCAAGGTCACCGGCGAGTCCAAACGGAGGAGGAAGTCACGAGAGCGGTGGAGACCAAAGCCCTAGGTCTAATGTACGTGAACAGGACAGGTTTCTTCCTATAGCTAATATTAGTCGAATCATGAAAAAGGCGCTTCCTGCTAATGGAAAAATTGCAAAGGATGCTAAGGAGACTGTTCAGGAATGTGTTTCCGAGTTCATTAGCTTCATTACCAGCGAGTATGTTTTTCAATTTCCTTAATTCCCTAATTACGAATTGATTTGATCGTAACTGATTTGAATTGAGATGTTGTTTTATTGATATATTCGTATATGCTACTTGCTGTGTTAAAATGTACTTACTTTGCTTAGACTGTAAACGGTGCGATTCATGTAATTGATTATGATCAATTTTCTTTCGTGGCTTATAGAGACTGACTTTATATGGTAGAAATTGGTCTTGTTTTCTTTATTTAAGAAAACCTCTTATTTTGAAGTGTGTGGCCGAGTGGTTAATGAAGTGAGTGGAGAAATATGATGTCTTAGGTTCAAAGTCTCAGCGGAGACAAAAAATTGTAGTAGGTGATTTCTTTCTACCTACCTAAGCCTTGGTGGGCCTAGTACATCTGCTGGTGGGGTAGCAATTATCCGGTGGATTAGTTGAGGTGCACAAGCTGGCTCTACCACCACCGTCATAAAAGAAAACATCTCAGTTTGAACTGTTACCTACTTTATTAAAAAATGCATCTTATTTTTAACTTTGTGAGTTAGTAATACTGCGTTATACACAAATTTTCCATCTTCCTTTAGTGTATGTTATGTGTTGTGTCTGGATATGCTATATGCTATGGATATTAACTATTCCTTTCTGTTTTGTGTTTTTTGGAGAAACTTTTCTGGTTAATAAGTTGCATTTTTATTGTAAAATAGTTGATTTCCTTAACAACATTGTTATTTTCCTGTTGGAATTGTCTAGGGCAAGTGACAAGTGCCAGAGAGAGAAAAGAAAGACTATTAATGGTGACGATTTGCTATGGGCAATGGCAACTCTAGGTTTTGAAGATTATATTGAGCCACTCAAGGTGTACCTTGCTCGGTACAGAGAGGTAATGATTACTACATTCTTTATGTCAGCTTTCCCCTGTGACCCTTTCCAAACAGAGTATAAATTGACGGATTTGTCTTTTTGTGGTGTACCTGCTCGATGAATGGGTTGTTGCAGATGGAGGTAAGTGAATGTCTAATACAGTGGCTTTATAGTCATTTCCATTTTCTTCCCTTTTTTTTTGTTTTGCTTTGGAAGCAACTGATTCATTTGGTAGGGTGACACAAAGGGATCTGCCAAGACTGCTGATGGGTCTGCTAAAAGAGATGGGATGCAACCTAGTCCTAGTTCACAGGTACTCTTTTGTGTTCTCAGCTTTTTTGTTTTTTTATCTGATTGGTGTCTCAAATTACAAAAGGAAATTGTGTTCCATTAATTTGCTGTTGCATCATCTTGTTACAGCTTGCACTTCAAGGTTCGTTCTCGCAAGGAATGAATTATGGAAACTCTCAGGTAACTTTTTCTCTGTGTGTATACTTGAAATTTAACTGCTGTATGTCATCTTTCAAAACACGTTATCATGCCTCAAAGTTTCAATCTTCACCTGTTATATGGGGGAAAGATGTTTCAGTCAACCACAAAAAGGGTTGCCTTGATGCATCAATTTGGTTACTAGCCTTATCAATATGCAACTATAGCTTTCAGGAATTAGTCGAGAATTTGCTTGACAGAACAAACCATTTCTGCTCATGGGATTTACACAGATATTATTCAACTTGTAACAAGATCTTTTATTCATCAATTGTTTCTCCCTGATCATTTTGCTAGCTTAGTGCTTTTCTTGCTTTTATAATATCTCCTTATTACTGATTTTAAAAAAACTGTTGCTCTTTATTTTGTAAATTGAGAGAATCATGTGGGGAGGGGTGTTAAGGTTTGGTTGCAAATGTCGTTAGAGGAGAAAGAACTAGAATTTTCCGTACATCAGTGTGTTTGGATAGAGTTACAATACCACGACTTATGGAATTGGGATGGACTATAGCTACATTAGGAGAAAACATGTAAAAGTGCACCCACGGACTTGACATAGCGGTCAATGAAGTGAGAAAGGCCCTCAGAGACCAAACTACCAACAAGACAAAATACCAGGTTATCTTTCCTGCCTGCCTAAGGCTTGGTTGGTGGAGTTTCTTGTATGTGTGCTAGTTGGGAGGTAACATGTATGCAAGTTTTTCCAAACACCACCATTATAAAATATCATGTAAAAGTTGAACATTAGAAGAGTATTTTCAAGATTTTTCAATTTATCAAGTTCTTTCCAGTCTTAAGAAAATAGACCCTTTAGAACTTTTGTGGAGAACCGTTAGTGAGAAATGCTATTGCTAATTTCAACCTAGCGAAATAAATAGAGCACAGAGTGTGATTTCCTAATTTAAATCCAAGTATTTTGTGCCTTTATTTTAATCATCCAATGATTGGTAAAGTTATGTAAGGCCTTTGAAAGACTCTGCTGGGGAGGTTTGTGTATATATTCTTTCAAGACTCGGGGCCTTGATGTAATTTATAACTTTAGAAGATGCCAGAATTTGGCCGAACTGCAAAAGGTATTATCATAATTTATTCATTATGGGGCTGAGCTGAAAATATACTTGTTGAAGAGTAAAGAGTAAAAGGAGAAAAATAGGAGGCAAATCCATATATGATTTATAGTACCTCATGGTAATCAACTAATGAAATTTACCTTATCTTATCCAACAAAAAAGAGAAGGCAAATCCTTAGATGATGTAAAACAAAGGGTGATAAGATATAGCCTTTTTGCACTTACCTTTTTTTTTTGAGAATGAAACTTAGGTATCTGTATTTGTCTTATTAAAACCATTGCAAGTAAATAGTTCAGAGTTGTCCGGCTTTAATTGTGATCATGTTGCTCGGATGGATAAAGGACGAGGGTTGTGGTAGGCTGGTAACCAGTTTAAACTAGCTAAATCACGGTGAATCCTCACAGTAATGTTGGTCTGAGGTGATTTTAAATGGAGAATAATGGTCTTTGAGGACTCATAAAGCCCACTCCTACTTGTTTGGGACTGTTATGTAGTAGTTGTTTTTTTATGTCAGAATTTTGCTGAATAGCTGGAGGTTTGGACATGTGTTACTGTCATATGAGTGTCAAGTGCATTATGGACATAAGTGGGAAAGTACAACGCTTATTGAATAGTTATCCTAGATATGTGTTATGATTTGAAGATGTTACTTTGCAACACTGGTATTGTTGATTATCTGATAATTGATAGATCGAATACATTGTTCACATGTTTCTTGAGAACTTAATTGGCGGTAATATTTGAGACTTAAAGTATGAAATAAATCCTTCCAAAGGTATGAAGGTGGGTGATACCGTTGGAAGCAAGTGTGGTCCTAATTGAACATTACGTCAGAGGTGCACTAAGCTCGTCAACGTTGATCAAAGTACATGAACTAACTAGCCTGACCCTCAAATCATTTACGTTTTGAGTATTTTTCTAAATGTAAATAGATATAATGTATCGTTTTGAGATGGTTTGGTCATGTCCTCTGTATGCCTACAGATGCACCGGTCAGTAAGTGTAATAAGTGTGAAACTATGGTGAGTGATGGTGTTAAAGGGGAGGGGTAGACCTAAAATCACATTGAAGGAAGGAAGTTGTCTGGAAAGACCTATATATCCTTGGAAACAACGCACAGCCTTAGCTAAAAATTGGACTTCCAGGATGCATATGGTGGACCATTTGGAAAGAAAAACAATAGGTGATTTGAAGGAAACAACAATTCCTTACAGAAGATCACGATGGACTATCCTTTTTCTTTCTTCTGGTCTCACTTTTGGTGTAAGGAAGATTAAGTACATGATGTTGATTTATTGCTAGGTATCATAGAATTCCTGTAGTAGGTGGCAGAAGATAGGCATGTTGCTAGTTTCCTTGGAATTCTACAGATGGCTTTAGCAGTCTTTGTGCTGCACATTTATAATATTGTTACCATTCTCAAAATCAATGGAAGAAAAAGATCCATAAAGATGATATCTACTAGCTAGGAATAGGTTAGTAGACTTCTTTTATATATATAGACACACAACACACACACACACACACTCTTATAAAATTTATTTTTCATCTTTATTTTATTTGTTATGATGATAACATGAGGTGAGCTTAAATTGGAAGTAAGGATTCACCTAGCGGACCTCAACTGAGGCATAGTTGTTGTGTTGCTTTGGAAGGCTCATCAGATTGCTGTTCTTTTAATTTAAACCAATAAATTATGTTGGTGTTTATCAGACTTGAGTATATAGATTTGCAAGTGGTAGGTTTCTAGAAGGAACTATTTCACAAAGGTGCAATATAATGGTCCTCATATTTAGTTTTGATGACAGCAAAAGCATCCTCTGGAGGGAAATATGAAAAGAAATGAACTTGTCAGTAAAAATATGAAAAGCAGTAAAGATTTCTGGGTGTTGAGTAATTCGTATTCTTACTGAACTACTTGATCAATCCATATATTATGGTTTTCTGCACTGGGAGGGACAGTTGCTTGTTATTCTCACTTTTCTTGTCTGCCTGCGGTTTTGCAATGTTGGCCACTTTTTCGACTTGGCATGGAGTGCTCCTACCTCCACCCTTGTTTTTCTTCTTTTTTAGTATTTGTTAGCCTGGAGGGGTGAGTTGAGCCTTACTATGACCTGCTCAGTTATAGGAGAGCCTTACTATCGTGAGCATGCTCCTTCTGAATTCTGATTGCGCAATGTCATTGATAGCTGGATGAACTAGTAAGAATAAGGAAATTTAAGTCAACAATTTTAAAGACCGGCAAAAATGATTTTCTCTCAGCGTCCTGGCTCTTCTTTCTGAAGATTCCAGGGTTAAGTACTAAGCCTGTTGCTTAATGAGTAAATTCTACCAAGCTCTTCTCTCTTGTAGCACATGCATTGTTTTAGGATGGCAATAGAAGCCAATCTGCACAAGAGAGATTTTTGCCTTCGTTCAACTAGGTGAAAAGGTGGGGGTTGGGTAATCTATGAACTTTAAGCAAGCATATATTTGAAGGCTATTTGGTGGCAATGTTAGATTGTTGGTTGACACATTGATTGTCGAAATTCCACCCGAAATATTTTTTGTCAACCTGACGCTTATTGTATCTCTTGAAATTGCTTTTTGCAGGGTCAGCATATGATGGTCCCGATGCAAGGAACAGATTAAAATCCAATCTTCACTCTGTTTGAGATGGTCGGACTTCAAACGTGTTCTATATATAGATCCTCCCAAGTAAGCTCTGTATCATGGTTGATTTATTTAGGGCTCTCAAGTCAGGGCCATATGCTATTTAAGTTTGTAAATTTAGGAGATGTTCAAGTAAAGACCTGATTGTTTGTAGTAATAACAAGAACCATTACCTAGCATTTAGCATATTGTTTCTCTTCGGATGAAATTAAAATTTGCCCTTCTTATTCTCTTTCTTTTCTTTCTGAAGGAAACAAATATGCCTCATTTTTCTTACTCTATTGGTATTTTAACCTTATGCGAGAAGAAATGGTTTCTGGAATGATATTCGTCCCCGCATACGCATGTTATATCACTTATATAGGTCGAGGTCATGTTACATCTTGCCAATTCTATTCTTGTGGAACGGGCATTTCCAGATCCAGATACATTTGAGAGTTGAGATAGTAACTGCTAGCCAATTTCACAGCAAAATTATCAGGCAACTCCAAGGTGTATCCAATGACTAAAAGTGACATTTGGTCGTGGAAGAAATGAAGTGGTCCCCTATATTATGAAAAGGAGGTGATCCAGCCGCACCTTCCAGTACGGCTACCTTGTTACGACTTCACTCCAGTCACTAGCCCTGCCTTCGGCATCCCCCTATCCACTGATTGTCCAGTTCATTAGGGAGTGTTTTTTGGAGTGACAATAGGGTTACGAGTCTCGAAACATTTGGAAACCTCTTTTTTCCCCGCAAGAGAGGTTGGCTTTGCAAAATTTTGTGGATTCTCCGTTGCAAATACTTGGAGAAGTGAATTATTTCTTTAACTGCTATTTTCTATAATAATTTTTAGATACTTTAAACTATAATATTTTATGATTATAGAATTTTTATGTAAATATTAGATATGTAAATTTACTAAAAAATTAAAAGAAAAACTTTTGAATTTTCGACTTTATATGTGAATTTTGAATTCCTATTTTATGGTCCTAAAACGCTAAAAAGCGACCAACGGTCATGGTTAAACAATGATTGTTGTTCATTAGGTCGTTTCTAATGGGCCCACAAAATTTTAGGTGGTTCGGGGTCGATCGCCGAATTCATGAAGATGGGGTGGACATTTGCACACGAATAATTGAAAAATCGTCCTAAAAATTTCATTTTATGGCTCTAAAACTCCAAAAAACGAGGAACAAATATGGCGAAGCAATGACTATTGTTCATTAGGTCGTTTCTGATGGGCCCACAATATTTTTGGCGATTGGAAACCGGTCACACAAATTCTAAGATGGAGTGGATATCGACCTGAATTGCTCTTTTATGACCATAAAATGCCAAAAAAATGAGGAACAGTCATGGTGAAGCAATGACTATCATTCATTAAGTCATTTTTGATGGGCCCCTAAACCTTTAGGTGATTCGGGCCGGTCATCAGAATTCATGAAGATGTTGTGGATATAAGCACACGAAAAATTGGAAATCGTCATGAATTGTTGTTTGATGGTAAACGCCAAAAAATGAGGAACGGTCATAACGAAGCAGTGACCAATTTTCATTAGGTCGTTTCTGATGGGCTCACAAAATTTTAGGTGATTCGAGGCCGATCGCCCGAATTTGTGATGATGGCGTGGACATTACCACACGAAAAAATAAAAATCGTCCTAAATTTCTGTTTTATAGCCCTAAAAACCTTTTAAAAAAAAAGGAAGGGACATGGCTAAGCAATGACTATTGTTCATTAGGTCGTTTCTGATGGGCCCACAAAATTTTAGGTGATCCCGGGCCGGTCGCCGAATTCATGAAGATGGCGTGGACATTAGCACACGAAAAAATAAAAATCGTCCTAAATTTCTGTTTTATAGCCCTAAAAACCTTTTAAAAAAAAAAAGGAAGGGTCATGGCTAAGCAATGACTATTGTTCATTAGGTCATTTCTGATGGGCCCACAAAATTTTAGGTGATCCCGGGCCGGTCGCCGAATTCATGAAGATGGCGTGGACATTAGCACACGAATAATTGAAAATCGTCCTAAATTTTCATTTTATGGCTCTAAAACGCCAAAAAATGAGGAACGATCAGGGCGAAACAATAACTATTGTTCATTAGGTCGTTTCTGATGGGCCCACAATATTTTTGGCGATTCAGAGCCGGTCGCACGAATTCTAAGATGGCATGGATATCAACTTGAATTGCTCTTTTATGGCCCTAAAATGCCCAAAAATGAGGAACAGTTATGGCGAAACAATGACTATTATTCATTAGATCGTTTCTGATGGGCCCCAAAACCTTTAGACAATTCGAGGTTGGTCGTCCGGTTTCATGAAGATGTCGTGGATATAAGCACACGAAAAATAGGGATTCGTCATGAATTGTTGTTTGATGGTAAACACCAAAAAATGAGGAACGGTCATAGCAAAGCAATGACCAATTTTCATTAGGTCATTTCTGATGAGCCCATAATATTTTAGGCGATTCGGGGCCGGTCGCCCGAATTCATGAAGATGGCGGGAACATTACCATACAAAAAAATAAAAATCGTCCTGAATTTCTGTTTTATAGCACTAAAATCCTTTAAAAAAAGAGGAAGGGTTATTGCTAAGCAATGACTATTGTTCATTAGGTCGTTTCTAATGGGCACAAAATTATTAGGCGACTCGGGGTCGATCGTCGAATTCATGAAGATGGCTTGGAGATTAGCACACGAATAACTGAAAGTCATCCTGAATTCCCATTTTATGGCTCTAAAACGCCGAAAAAGAGGAATCGTCATGACGAAGAAATGACTATTATTCATTAGGTCGCTTCTAATGGGCCCATAATATTTTTGGCAATTCGAAGCCGGTCGCACGAATTCTAAGATGGCGTGGATATCGACCTGGATTACTCTTTATGGCCCTAAATTGCCAAAAAACAAGGAACACTCATGGCGAAGCAATGACTATTATTCATTGGTCGTTTCTCACGGGCTCCTAAACATTTAGACGATTCGGAGCCGGTCGTCCGAATTGATGAAAATGTCATGGATATTAGCACACGAAAAATTGGAAATCGTCATGAATTGTTGTTTGATTGTAAACGCCAAAAAATGAGGAACAGTTATAGCGAAGCAACGACCAATTTTTATTACGCTATTTCTGATGAGCCCACAAAAGTTTAGGCGATTCGGGGCCGGTCGCTCGAATTCCTGAAGATGGTGTGGACATTACCACACGAAAATATAAAAATCGTCCTAAATTTCTGTTTAATAGCCCTAAAACCCTTAAAAAAAGAGGAAGGGTCATGGCGAAGCAATAACTATTATTCATTAGGGCGTTTTTTACGGGCCCACAAAATTTAGGCGATTCCGGGCCGGTCACCCGAATTCATTAAGATGGCATGGACATTAGCACAAAAAAATTTGAAATTGTCCTAAATTTCTGATTTATATAACACCAAAAAATGAGAAACGGTCATGGCGTAGCAATGACTATTTTTCATTAGTCCGTTTCTATTGGGCCCATAAATTTTTAGGTGATATGGGGCAGGTCAACCAAATTCATGAAGATTGCGTGAACATTAGCACATGAAAAAATAAAAATCGTCCTAATTCCTGTTTTGTGGCCCTAAAAAGCCAAAAAGAGGAACGGTCATGGCGAAATATTTACTATTGTTTATTAGGCCGTTTCTGATGGGCTCGATAATATTAGGCGATTCGGGCCGGTCGTCCGAATTTGTGAAGATGGCGTGGATATTAGTACACGAAAAAATGAAAATCGTCCTTAATTCCTATTTTATGGCCCTAAAACGCCAAAAAGAAGAAGAGGAAAGGTCATGACAAAAGCAATGACGATTGTTCATTAGGTCGTTTCTAATAGGCGCACAAAATTTTAGGCGGTTCGAGGCCGGTTGCACGAATTTATAAAGAATGCATGGACATTAGCCCCACGAAAAATTGAAAACAGTCCTAAATTATTGTTTTACCCCTAAAACGCCAAAAAACAAGAAACGACCATGGCGAAGCAATGATATTGTTCATTAGGTCGCTTCTGATGGGCCTACAAAGTTTTAGGCGATTCAGGACCGGTCGCCTGAATTCTTGAAGATGGCGTGGGTTTTTTTTTTTTTTGCCCCTAAAACGAAAAATTCATGTTTTATGCCCCTAATACGCTAAAAGCGAGGAACGGTCATGTCGAACCGACAAATATTGTTCAGTAGGTCGCTTCTGATAGACCCACAAAATGTTATGCGATTCGGGGACGGTTTTTCCAAATCATGAAGATGGAGGGGATATTAGCACATGAAAAATTGTAAATTTTCCTAAATCCCTGTTTTATGGCCCTAAAACGTCAAAAAATGAGAAACGTTCATGGCAAAGCAATGGTTATTGCTCATTAGGTCTTTTCTGATTGGCACACAAAATTTTAGGCCATTCGGAGTCGGTCACTCGAATTTATGAAGATGGCGTGGACTAATGCACACGAAAAACAGGAAATCGTCCTTAATTCTTGTTTTATTGCCCCAAAACGTTAAAAACGAGGAATAGCCAAAGAGAAGTAATGATTGTTGTTCATTAGGTTATTTCTAATGGGCCCACAAAATTTTTAGCGATTTGAGGCTGGTCACCTTAATTCATGAAGTCGGGGGTGAAAATTAGCACACCAAAAATTGGAAATCGTCCAAAATTCCTATTTTATGGCCCTAAAAAGTAAAAAAAAACGAGAAATGGACATGGCGAAGCAATGAGTATTGTTCATTGGGTTGTTTCTAATGGGCTCACAAAATTTTAGGTGATTCGAATCCGGTCGCCCGAATTCATGAAGATGCGCACACGAGAAAATTATCTTGAATTCCTATTTTATGGCCCTAAAATGTCAAAGAACGAGGAATGGTTCTGGCGAAGCAATGACCATTGTTCATTAGGTCATTTCTAATGGGCCCACAAAATATTAGATAATTCGAGATCTGTCGCCCGAATTTATGAAGATGGCGTGAGCATACGAAAAATTGAAAATTGTCCTTAATTCTTGTTTTATGGCCCTAAAACGCCAAAAAGAGAAACGGACATGGTGAAACAATTACTATTATTTATTAGGCCATTTCTGATGGACCCACAAAATTTTACGATTCGAGGCTGGTCGCCCGAATTCATGAAGATGACGCGGATACTAGCACACAAAAAATTAAAAATCGTCCTGAATTTCTATGTTATAACCCTAGAACGGAATAAAATGAGGAACAGTAATGGTAAAACAATGATTATTGTTCATTAAGCCGTTTCTGATGAGCCCACAAA